CTGGTGTTAAAATCATGAACACTGATATGGGACACTTGTGTCTGTCAGCAGGTGTAATCAGAGCCAGTGTCTAGCCAGTAGTTGCTAAGTATCTGTTGGGACAGTCACTTTCCCCCGCTGGAGCCCTAGTTTCTCACATCTAATAGCAGCAGTGTGGCTCTTTGTTTGTTTTATGGCCAGTCTTATAAAATACTATACAAATCTTATATTTAAGACCTTTTGTAGCATTAATGAAATGCGTTAATTTGCATATCTAAGCAGGGCAATTCAAAGCCAGCTTTTCAGGATAGAAAAACCGTGAGGACCGAGAGTTAACTGGGTTCTAAATGTGTAAATTCTATTAACTATCAAGACAATGCAGATGTGTAGTGTCAGGCTTATGGTATTTAATAAATTGCTGTCTGGATAATAAATAAATAAGGAAAATAAACAACATAGTTCATATTCAACCTCATCCAGGTCTTGAAGCTTGAAAACCATCTTTTTTTTATACATTACCAAAAGTGAATATCAAAAGACTGGCTAAAAGACAGACTACCTAGGCGATTTTTGTATTTAATACAAGCATTTTTTTTCACAAGCCTTTTTAGACTGACAATTCAGATATTAAGGCACAAAAGTATTTTTCTCCCTGCTTGATAAATTTGTTTAAGTTGACAACCACAGATAATTTTGAGAGTTTAGGTAGTACCTACTGCAGACAGAAACTTTTTTCTTAAGACCTTCCCACGTTGGACCGGGAGGGAGTGTAGTGGCATAGTGCTCGCTCAACACCTAGGGGGCTCTGGATTCTGTCTCCACCGAAAATAAATCCCCATGGTAAAGTCTTTTTAAAGACCGGCTTCCATATTTAAAGTAAAAGCTACGTGGCGGAGTGACTTCCCTTTAGAGTTTGTTGTTGTTACAGTTGGCTTTAGGTAAATAGGATTGCTAAATATTAAGATGACGCATAGTTTCCTTTTTGTGGTGGCGGAAGCAACAATGCAGTGTGGGTTGTAAAAGTCGACAGGCAAAGCCACAGTGTGAGATTGGCTGATAAACAAAGCATGGGTTTCCATCTTGATCTGCCATGCCCCCTACTGGAGGGAGCCTCTGAACAATTTTTCTTTTTCAAACAATATCACGCAGATAATATGAAGAGAAAAATGTCTCCCTTGCCAAATGCCTATGCCTATCTTCTCCATTAATTAATTGTTGTGAATTAAAATTTTATATATACTAACTCATGCTTTAGAATTTAGAACACACACACACACACACACACACACACACACACACATATATATATATATATATATATATATATATGTATGTATATTCAAGACAGGGGTTCTCTGTGTAGCTTTGGAGTCCTGGAACTTGCTCTGTAGACCAGGCTGGCCTCGAACTCACAGAGATTTGCCTACCTATGCCTCCCATGTGTGGGGATTTTAGGTGTGGGCCACCACCACCCATTCTCAAGATATATTCTTTTAAAACACACACACACACACACACAGACAGACAGACAGACAGACAGAATTATCATTCTGTAAGTAACTATGTGCTTTTTTTCACTTGGCAGATGTTTCAGTTACTAATTTGAAAGAGCTCTAAACCTTTGTGAAATGATTATTTTTTTTAAAACTATGAGACCGGGGATGCAGCAGAGTGGGATAGGTAACAGAAACAGATAAAAATGTTAGTACTATTCATATAGTCAGAAATGTGACATGGATCTTCCTTTTTCTGTTTTTTTTTTGTTTGTTTGGTGCTTTTTTTTTTTGGTATAAGGCATTTTATTGAGGGAGAGAGGGAGAGAGGGAGAGAGGGAGAGAGGGAGAGAGAGAGAGAGAGAGAGAGAGAGAAGAGAAGAGAAGAGAAGAGAAGAGAAGAGAAGAGGAGAAAAGGAAAAAAGAGAGGAGGCAAAGCCGTGTGTACACCAGGAGAGAGAACAGGGAACCTTTCTGTTTTATTTTGTCTAACTTCGGTTTATGAAACTTTTTATCAGAATGAACACATGACTTCACAAGACTCTGTTTGTAACCCTTTTCCTGTAATATGATCTCAGATTTTAAAGTGATTATTAATTTCTTAAACTATAACTTCCATGCCCAGAAGCTAAGAGAGAAAATTAGTGTTTTTGTCAGGAATAAATGGCTTTAATGCTTGGCCTGTGTTTTAGAAGACTTAGTCATCCCACCAGTGTGCGGTGGTGGTTTCAGCTAGTTGTGCCTCTCTTCTGTGTTTTGAAGTCTGTACTCCAAAGTTAGGCAAGGCATTGGAAATTTAATTGCCTTCTTTACCAAAATCACCTTCGTTATTATTGAGAATAGGAACATGAGGACTTTTTTTTCTGAATGAAGAATGCTAATGTAAACCAAAACACCTCAAATAGGTGTGTGCAGTAGTTTCTAAGCCTCTGACATCTAAATCTGCTGCGCTTAGTAGAAAGCTGATGGGAGAATGGTTAGAAATTCTTCTTGTAAAGTAAGCTGCAGAAGTAGTGATCTGTAGCCTGCAAAGTACAGAAACACAATGTCTTTCTTGACATTTTTTATGACTGGGATTTTAATTTCTAGCCAAAGAAATGGGAGTGTTAGTTGGAGTATATTTACTATTCTTTTCAAATGTGGTGAGTTTGCTTAAGGACATGTCAGATTTCAAAGGCTTATAAGCTGTTAGTCACTGGGTGATTGAGGCAACAGAATTAAGAGCTGAGATTCCAGCCTGGGCTACACATGAAGAAGAGAGAGGGGAAGGAAAGGATGGAAGAAAAACAAGGAGAGAAGAAGAGGAGGGGAGAGAGAGGGAGGGAAGGGAAGAGAAAGGAAGAAGAGAAGCTGTTTTCTCCCTTCCTTTTTTTTTTTTAGTATGAAAAGATCAGTGGCAACAAGAGATCTGATACACTTATTTTTCCCCCAATATGCTGAAAAGTTTTTCAGTAGAGAGCATTAATCTAGTTTATGCACTTTTTAGGTCTTTGATCCATGAACTACTTTATAATAAAAGACAACTTTGTACATATTCTTTTCTCCCATTCTATTTTCTTTCCCTTCGCCTCTCCTTTCCCCTCTTCCTCTTTTCTCTCTTCCTTCCCTTCCCTTTCATCCCCTCTCTCCCCTCCTCTCTCTTTCTTTCTCCTTTTTCTTCTCTCTCCTTTCCTTCCTATCTCTCTTCTCACAGTGTAGCCCAGGCTGGACTCTCAACTCTTGATTCTGTTGCCTCCATCACCCAAGTACTAAGATCACACTAAACACATGAAAAAGAGAAGAATCCCAGGATCTCAGGGGAAATGACTGGGTGATGGAAGCTGTTGCTGTGGAGATGTGAACAGAATCGGACACAGCTGTGCTGCATCAACCCTAAGTGCACCAGTGCTCTCTAAACTTCCCAGCTTCTTAAACTCACATTCTTCTGTGTTTGTTTTCAGAAAGTGTGTTTGACAGAGCAGACTGGATGGATATCTTGCTCATTATTGGAACGCTTACCTATTATTCCTACCGTTGCTCTTTTCCTGCAGCCCCCTGTGAGGTATTATGACTGGGGAGGCATGTTCCTGCTACAGTCGGAAAGAAAGAATGAATCAAAGAATATCCTGAGCAGCTGACAGCTTAAAGGGAATCAGGGTGAGTTATCCTTTGTGTACTGCGGACCTGCTGTGTCAGGGATTGAAGTGGTCTGATGGAGTTTCGTCACTCCACAGTGCTGATAGCAGTGCACTGAAGCTGCATGTAACCTGACTCTGGCCCCAGGTACTCTGCAGTCTCAGCTTGTGTTATCACCTTTTCCTGGGGGATCTCTTTCATCTCTGGCTTTCTTAGTGGTCCTTTCAGCTTCTTCTAAACACCCTATCAGATACATCAGTGATCATTAGTGATACAAGACTGCCTTATAAAAGCAAAATGCTGGGGCTGGAGAGATGGCTCAGAGGTTAAGAACATTGGCTCTTCTTCCAGAAGTCCTAAGTTCAATTCCCAGCAAGCACATTGTGGTTCACAACCATCTATAATGAGATCTGGTGCCTTCTTCTGGAGAATGCTGTATATATAATAAACCTCTAAAAGAACATCTTTTTTATTTTTTTAAAAAAAGGAGAAGAAGCAGAATTAGGTTCATGGCAAACTTGAGGACAAGGTAAAGAAAATGCCTCTTTTGCTTCCTGTCCCCACACATTCATTCCTTCTCCCATTATCAGCATACCTCACCCAGATGACACATGATGAACCCGTATTGACACATTATCACCATCCAGAGTCCGTGGTTGACACTGGGGCTCATTCTTGTTGGAGTGAGTATATTCTGTGGGCTTCGGCACAGGTACAGTGACCAGTATCCACCATTACAGTATTATGCAGAGTACTTTCACAACCCTGGTTCTCTCTGTTCCTGTTTGGATTGCTTAATTCTAAGAACATGTTAGTACTGCAAGAAACCAGCAGCTTGTCTCACAAAGTGGCTCTACCTACCTTGTGCCATCCTGAATGGTACTTCCTGTAACTCTGCATCCAGAAAAGCACTTGATGTTCTCAGTATCCTACGTTTAAACCATTCTAAAAGGTGTACCATTTGGACCGTTCCAAATGGTTTAATTTCATTAACCGAATCTTCATGGCCTAATTCTCAGTCCCCTAGAAGCGTATGATACATAATGTCTTTTTGTGTGTATTTGCCATTTGCTTGTTTTCTTTGGTAAGGTGTCAATGTTTTTCTGACCAATTTTAAATTAGGTTATTTTCCTATTGTTGAGTTTTAAGTTTTTTTTAGTAGTTTTAAGTAACAGTCTTTTATCAAATAAATGCATTTGCATATTTTTCTGTAAGCCTGTGACTTTCTCTCTCTTTTGTCTTTTGCAGGGCACAAACTTTTAATTTCAGAGAAGTCCACCTTAGTATTACCTCATTTTTGCCGAAAGTTAGTTTTTATCTTTAAGGAAATGATTTTAAAAATAATGTAGATTTCTGTGCCACCAACACCCCATTCTCAGACTCACCGTAAGATCCAGAAAACTACACCCATAATTAGCATGAGTGCCAAAACTTCAAGCGGTGATTTATGTTATACGGGAAACAAGATCAAGAGTGCAAATGAAAGGCTCAGACCTGGCGAGTACCAGGCTAGCACATTAAAGCTGTCGCCGTGGGCATGTAGGCGACAACAGGACAGCCAAAGGCTGGTTCTACACCCGCACCGGAAACAACTCCTCCTGTTGCTGCAGCACCTGCGCTGATTCACTTGGCAACAGTCTCGGTGGTGTCTGTGGCTGCTCTGGTCTGAGCCTTCTTCCAGTCAGCTGCGGCACACTCCTCTGGGTCTTTGCTGCTATGTGTAAAAGTGACGCTCAAGCCCCACACGGGCGTGGTCTTCTCTTTCATGTCTTCTACACATCTTAGAGATTTACATTTTACATTTAGATCTGCGATTCATTTTGAGGACTTCTGGAAGATAGAGTTACTTTCTGAAATAGTTAAGCTATCCCTTATCCCTCAAAAATGTGTTAGCAATATCCAGCTTTTTAAATACAATTAATATTTTCAACAAAATTATCCACTATTTTTCTAGGGCTAATTTGTTACCTGGTAAAAGTCATATATTTTCTCTCATCTCCCTCTCCTCCTTCCCTCTCTTCCTCCCCTCTCTTCCTCCCTCTCCTGGGTCTGTCTGTCTGCCTGCCTGTCTGTCTTTATCTTTGAGATAGAGTCTTACTGTGTTCTGGCAAGTCTATATAAACTTTCTGTGAATGACAAAATGGCTTTAAACTTCTGGCAGTCCCCCTGTCTCCGTTCCCCAGATGCTTGGATTACAGGTGTTTGCCATCGCTCATGGCTTTGTTTCTTTTTCTCAATACAGTCTAGCCTAGACTTTAAGTCTCTGTCTCTCCTCTTACTATGCCCTGTCACTTTGTACTGAGTTCTCTTTTGGGATCTTGCAGTGTGTCAACTCTTTCGTCTCCTCCAGTGACTATTTTATAGAGTGCTTTCAGTTTAATTTCCTTAAGAATTTTAAGAGAAATTTAAAAACAAGCCAACCGAAGATATCTTAGAAACCTTGGCAATCTTCATCTAGATAAGCTGTGTTGAATTAGGAGCGGCAGGGCTGCGTCCCCGGCACCCGGCCGCCCGCAAGGCTAGGTTATGCCCTGAAATAATTACATGGAAACTGTATTCTTTCAAACACTGCCTGGCCCTGCTAGTTCCAGTTTCTTATTGGCTAGCTCTTACATATTGTTCTAACCCATTTCTAATATTCTGTGTAGCCCACGAGCTGGATTACCAGGGAGGATCTTAACCTGTGTCTGTCTGGAGCGGGAGAATCACGGCGACTCCTCCACTAAGCTTCTTTCTCCCAGAATTCTCTTCTGTTTACTCCACCCACCTAAGGGTGGACCTATCAAGGGGCCTAGGCAGTTTCTTTATTAATAAGAAATCACTCCCACATCAAAGCTGTATTTCACTGAGCAATAGAAGTTGGTTTCACAAAAACTTCTTTGGCTTCATCTTTCTGCAGGGCGGGCATCTTCTGACATATTCATTATATTTGATCCCAAGCTTTCACAGATGATGTTGTCTTCTTCACGAGCCACAGATGGATTGATTTCCATGTTTAGCAGTGGTTACAATCTTAAGGAAGTAGAGCTCAGTCCACCCTGGCATCAAGTCAAGAGGGAAGGAGGAGTTTGAAGCATCTGATCACAGTGCAGAGGACGATGAAGGAACGTGTGTGCTTGGCTCCCTTTCTTCACTGTATATAGTTCAGGGTCCCTGCAGAGGCAATGGTTTCACCCACAGTTGACACCAGTCTTCTAACTCTGGTTAAGCTAGCTGAGATCATCCATTGTGGGCGTGTCCAGAGGCCTGTCTCTCAGGTAGATTCTGTCGAGTTTCCAACACAAACCATGACAGTTACCTATGAGCTCCATCAAACGTCCTCATTTTGAGTTTGTTCCATATGCTCTAGTTTTTTTTTTATTAAACTTTTTCCAGATTTAAAAGTTTCTTACTTTATCTACCTTTTAACATCAGATGAGAACCGTTTTGTACATAACCAGAAATAAAATTTGCTGCTCCTTGGGGATGGGACTTCTCACGTGACACATCCTGTTTGGTGATGCTGAAGTTGCTCTCCCGTCTTCTGATGGTTTTGGAAAGCCATTTTGCTTGTACATGCTTGAAATTGGATTGTTTTGATGCATCTTCCAACAAGGAGTATTTCTTGTCATGTCAGGCTCAACTTGTTCTGAATGTTTGGCTTTCTCCTTGCTAATTCCACTGTAAAACTGCTTTAAGCTGGCTCCGAGCTGGCGATTGCCTACTCCTTATCACTCTCCTCCAGGTTTTCTCTTTCCAGTAAAGTGTTCGTCAGCTTGACATCTGCTGAAATTGATTCAAGTCCTTCAAAGTCGTTTCACAAGTGAAACAGTTTAGCAGCTTGATGGATTTCATCTTCTTAAACAGGCAGAAATTCAGGGCATACTGGCACACATCAGGCGAGTGCTAAATCCCTAGCACCCAGTGTGTCATTTTACTTTTACCTACATAAGACGGGTTTTAAAATATTAAAGTACCAACTATGCCTATAAACAAAACAATGTTCTACAGGAGTTCATGGAGATCTATGTGTACTTTAACGTCTTCTCACAGGGCGACCATTTGGTGGACCCAATGTCTCTAGAATTGAGGCCTTCAGAACATCACAGTCACGAGCGGATCCCATCTAGTCTTCTAGACTATTACAAGCCCCTTTAGGTCTTCAGGACTCTGGGCTATACAATCCATCAGAGAATGTGAGTGAGCATTCTTACTGGAACCAAACTGATAACGCCTGGTAACTATAGTAGGCTGGGGAGTAAATTATTGGCTAATGTTTCTGTAAAACAGATATTTAATCCTCTGGCTCTCTTTCTCATTTTGCCAACAGAAGCACACTATAGTTCCTGTTCTCAGAGCTTTTCAATTTCTAGATAGCCTTCATGTAACCTAGGCAAAACTGGGGACAAATGAGGAAGGATTGGGAAGGACCCTAAACAAGATTTCAAGTTACTTTTCCAATTTCATGTTTAAAAACAAAAGATAAAATAGTTTCAAATTTATTTCATATAATCAGAGTACACTGTCCAGTCATGAATGAAGAAACCTCATCTTCCTCAAGCTTTTCTTTGATGAAAGGTCTGCAGATGTCCTTCTAGGTGCTTCTGTTCAGAATGATCATCTCTGGGCAGTTTAGCCTTGTTGTCAACAAGGCAGATCTTTAGACCATTGGAACCCAAATGGCCTAGCTCAGTTACCAACTCAGACTTGTTAACAATGAGCATATAAGTTGGTTGGGGTTGGGCACCATTTGTTTTTGGTTGGAATATGGTCACCAGAAAGCATCTTGGATAAGTTAAAAATTGGCCAGTTTGGACTTGGCAAGGCTGGCTGGTTCTACACGTCTTTCCTGGGATTTCTCATGGGTATTGAGGTCAGCTCACACATATTTGTGCAACTCCATGCCTGTCCCATGTAATTTTCATCTTTGTTTTATAACTCAGGGTAAAGATGGGTCTTCCCTGTCCATGTTAGTGACAGAGGCAGAAGAAAGCTAGTGGAAAGCGATTATGTAATTTGCTTTTTGCAAAGTTTACCTGACTGTGAGATGTCAACATTTTATTAGGTTACCTTTTCGTTAAGTCATATTCAACAGGGAGACAGAGGCAGAGTAGTAGGTGATAAAGTGACCCATTTATTCTATCCACGTGACTCCATTCATCATCCACTCTGATGAATAGTTGAGGCATTTGACAGGACAGAGATGAAAACCTCGTGAACTTCAACTCACAGATGCCTGAATTATACTCTCAAGTTACTACAGTCTACTGACCATGGAAGCAGAAAAGTTGATGGTACACGTTATAGAAAACTGAGGTGTCCAAGATGCTGATGCAGGATGACCTTGTCTAGGATAGCTGCCAGGTTCCAAAAGAACCCTTCATATCCTTAAGCCTCATTTTCCTCTCTAACGGGAAGGAAATAAGTGATTAGATTGCACATACTAAATATGATGGGCAGGAGTAAGATACCTTTGTATTTCTTTTACATTTTAAATATTCAACAGGTTTGTTTTCACCTTATGGAACATAAACATCCTTGGGAGACTAGAAGCTGCAAGACTGTGTGTGTGTGTGTCTGTGTGTGTGTGTGTGTGTATCTGTGTTTTGTATGTATGTGTGCACTCAGGTTTGGACTTAGGGTTGTGCTGATGCTATGCGTGTGACCTGCCAATGAGCTGCTTGTCCAGACTGCAGACTGCTGTTTGGTGTGAAGGAGAACAAGAATTCTAGTTCATGTGAAGGAAGAAGTATGGTTTTGAGTAAGTGTGCTGGAGGAGGGCGCGTGTTAATGATTGTGAGGAGTTAAACACTTTGCCGAGCTGAGTACATGATGGGCAGAGAACTTTCCCCATAAATGTCTCAGATCTAAGTCGAGGAGTCTCTGTGGGACATTGAATCAGCTTTTTCCCAGACTTTTGCAGCATGCATTTGTTTGCCCCATACGCATTGACGTTACTGAGATGCGCTTTTTCCTCTCCGTTCAGTCTGCATCTGTTCTCTTGTTTATGCTGGTTAATCCCTGTGCTGAGTTCTTGGCTCATCTCAGATTCACACAGCTAATTGTCGGAGCTTTGTTCATTCTTCAATGTAGATGGACTTGTTCTTTCTTATTTTGTTCCCAAACCACTTCTCTGAGTGATACTGTCATCAACAGTTTCTGAGAAAGATATGGGAGGTAGATAATTGTCACCATTAATCTATCCTTTTCCAATTCTGTATTGAATCTATCCTTCTGATTAATTTTACTTTACTTCTTAAACTATGAATGCTTCCTTCTTTCTACTCCCAGCCTCACTTTCTAATTTTCTCTCTCTCTCTCTTTTTTGTTAATGGAAGCAAGGCTCTTAGTTTTCTTACTTCACTTTCGAGTATACTATACATTAACTATATTTCTTACTTAGATAATTGAGAATAAGTAAAATATTTTTATTAACATGACATGTTTATTAAACTTTTATGGAATTTCCATTTTGGATCATTACATAATAGGCTGTTTCTGTCAGTAAATGAATGGAAGCTTAGTGTATTACACAATAAAGAGGCTAGAATAGTCCCTAGTAATTTCATCTTTTTAGTTATAAAAACCTTCCTGTTGTAGAATATTAGTTAAAGATGTGTTACATTTATTTGTGCATGGAATTTTTGTTCTTTTAATGATGCTAAGATGTGTTGCACTTGTTTAACACTGTGAAGCTGTGTTACTTTGCCTATCTAAAACACCTGCTTGGTCTAATAAAGAGCTGAATGGCCAATATCAACGCAGGAGAAAGGGTAGGCAGGGCTAGCAGGAAGAGAGAATAAATAGGAGACATCTGGAGAGAAAAAAATCAAGGAAAGAGAAAAGAAAGGGCCAACCACCTAACTACATAGTCAGACACGGGATAAGAAAGAAAGAAAAGATACACAGAATTAAAGAAAGGTAAAAGCCCAGAGGCAAAAGATAAATGGAATAAATTAAGAAAAACTGGCTCGAAATTTGCCAAGCTAAGGATGGACATTTATAAGAAAGAATAATCTTCTGTGTGTATCTATTTGAGAGCTGGGTGGTTGGCCCCACCAAAGAGTAAAAAGGCAACAACTACACTTTCCTTCATTGTTCTTAAGCATGAGAGTTCTGTTCTTATACAAATACTAGTGCACTTAGATGAAAAAGTTCACATTTATTATAATCACTAAAATACATGAAATTATTAGTTTTGATAGGATCCTGAGATTGAAGAAAAAGACAACAATTTTGAAATATGGTCAGTTGGATTGTACTTGAAATAGTAAAACACAAAGATCTGGATTTCCTTGAAGAGCACCTCTTGAGTCTATATCATTACCTCTTTGTGTCTGCTTCACCCTCCATCAAAAAAACTGAAAATGTAACATAACAATAACAGTAGAAATCACAATGGAAACTGCTCTAGAACTAGTGGAAAGTAGGGAAGGTGGATCTCTACGAGACTATAGAAATCCTGGAATATGAAAAAGTGTTCTGGGAGAAAACTGAAACAAAACTGAGCTGATGATATATCAGTGTGAGATCCATACAGAGCCTTCTTAAATTGAGTGGCTCGTTTCTCCCGTGGGTCCGGAAAATGCTTAGATTTTGGAGAATAGCATTTTAAGCATAGACATGCTGCAAGGTAGTAAATAAGGGTTAAATTATTTCCGAAGTTGAGGTAGTGGCACAGGTAGTATTTTTTGAGCTATTTGAGAATTTTGTGCCATGCATTTT